TTTAATGCTATTCGTTCTGGCTGGGTGTGGTGGCTCACACCTGTAATCCCAGCACTTTGGGAGGCCAAGGCAGGCAGATCACTTGTGGTCAGGAGTTCAAGACCAGCTTGGCCAACATGGTGAAACCCCATCACTACTAAAATACAAAATTAGCCCAGTGTGGTGGCGTGTGCCTATAGTCCCAGCTACTCAGGTAGCTGAGGCAGGAGAATCGCCTCAACCCAGAGGTGGAGATTGCAGTGAGCCGAGATTACACCACTGCACTGCAGCCTGGGCGACAGAGGGAGACTCCCTCTCAAAAAAAAAAAAAACAAAAAACTGCTATTGGTTCTCATACCCCTAAAGCAAAGAGGTCTCCTATGTACTCTTCTGTGCACCCAGCAGTGTGGTGGGAAAGAAGGAATTCAGCATGCTTCCTCCTAGGCCGGGCAGACAGGTACCAGGTAAGGGAGTCAGTGTCACTGCCTTTTACCTGCTGTTGGATCCTCGCAACCAAAGTGCATGTCTTCCTGTCTGTACACCAGCATGCCTTGGGGGGCTTTTAGGTAGGTGGGGTTTCTGTGAATGGCCACGCTGAATCGGGAAGTGAAGTTTCTATTTGGGATAAAGCTGTTTCTGCATCTGCCTGTCTGACTGCCTCGTTGGGCAACCACGGAATGCTTCCGGCCTCCGGCGTGCTGCAGGAGGCACTGGGCCAAGTGCCCGTGCGTCCTGGGGAGCAGGCTGAGATAGGAACGCAGACGCAAACCCAGAGGGTCTAGACTGCGTGAGCTTTGCCACTCCACCAGGCAAGACACAGGCTTCTTGGTCCCTAAGGAAGTCCCCTTCACACCTGCTGAGTTCTCATGTGGCTTCTGTACACTGGAGACTCGCCCCACTGCCCCGTGCCATCCTGCGTTCTAGTGCTGACTTGGAAGAAAGGTGGTATTGGTATGAGAAGTGTTAGATTTCAGAAGCTTGGCACAAATGGTTGGCAGCGATGGAGGGACCCAGTGTTTGAGGCTGTGGCAGGAGGACCTGTTGGCTCAGTTCTCAGTTCTGTTTAGAGAGTAAATTTAACACAGAAGCAACTTACAAAAATAAAGGCTTTTCATTTTGAGGGGCTCTTTTTCTTTGTTTTTGGAGATGGCTTGGCTCTGTCACCCAGGCTGGAGTGCACCGGTGCCATCACAGCTCACTGGTTCCTTTAAGTCCTGAGCCCAAGGAATCCTCCCACCTCAGCCTCCTGAGTAGCTGGGACTGCAGGCACGCACCACTACACCTGACTAATTTTAAACAATTTTTATGTGGAGTCGGGGGTCTTTCCGTCTCGCCCAGGCTGGTCTCAAACTCCTGGGCTCAAGTCATCCTCCCACCTCAGCCTCTTGAGAAGCCAGGACTACAGGCATGCATGACCACACTCGGCTAATTAAAAACAAAAAGATTCTGGAGTGATGGGAGTCTTTCCATCTTGCCCAGCCTGATCTTGAACTCCTGGGTTCAAGTGGCCTACTGCCTTAGCCTCCCAAAGCGCTAGGATTACAGGTGTGAGCCACTGCACCTAGTTATATAAAAAGAAAAGCTAAAACTAGTAAACCACACTGATACTTTTGCTATATTTCTGCTATGTACACATCCCTTTGAAAAGGAAAATAGGAATATTGAACTTAGTTTTTGCTTAAAGGGCCATTTCCTCCCACTCAAAGTTGTTTCCTTTTTAATCGCCTGCCAGCCATTCTTACATGGCCAGTGGTAGTGGTGCCGATTAAAATAGCACAAGTCTGCCGGCAGTCCCAGCAGACACGGCAAATGCACATTCCACAGTTCAGGACCGTATGCTTCATTTTACGGAGGTCTGCCTCAGCGGTCTCCTTCCCTCCTCCCTCCCGGCCCTTTCTGGAGGCAGGGGAGAGTGCGTTTCCACCAAGCACGGGAGTCAGAGAGCACTTCTTCACCGCTTCCTGTGCCCTGCCAGCACCAGGCACTCATCCGTCCGCCTTTTGTGATGCAGGTCTGAAGAGCTGCAGGCCCACATTGTGCCTGGACCCATCATCTGGCTTAGTGGGCCTGTCACAGCAGACCTGGAAACTAATTTTCTGCGTAGAGGAGGTTGCATTGCCAATGCTGTTCTAGCTTCTAGAGCCTGGAGCCCAGGAAATGGTTTTAAACAGGATTTTGCCTTCCCTCCGCCCTCTTCTTTAAAAAACCCCACTCCTTGGTGACGCTTGGTGACGGTTGCACAGCATGTAAATATACCTAATGCCACGGAACCGTACATTTAAAATGGTTAACATGGCAAATTTTATGCTACGTATAGTTTACCATAATGAAAAAAACCTCATTCCTCTAGAAATAGCAGTTTTTATTGAAAAGTTTAAAATATGTTTATTATTAAGTATATGAGAATTTGATTTGTACTCTGAGTTTAATGTTCCTGTATTAGAATGGGTTATTAATAAAACTAGCAGTCGTTAGTGCCTTCCGTTTGAGAAATTTGAGATGTTAAAACAAAGTTTGTCAGCAGTCAGATGACAGCGCATTCTGTACCATCGCAGCGTGAACTGTCTGTGAGTGAATACAGCCGTGTGTGTATTTCATTCCAAAGGCGCTGGGAGTGCTGTCTGGAGAGGGCTGGGCAGCTTTCATGTTGGCATCGTGGGTGCTTGGTAGAGATTCAGGAGGATCCAGATGGGCTGATGGGCAAAAGGTGGCCCTAAAATCAGGGGCATTGCCCAGCACTCTGGACGCATATGCTGGCCCAGGTGCTGGGCGGTCCGTGTCATCCTTGGGGCTTCTGTGTCCTCGTTGTCAAAGCTCTTTTAACATGGGGATGGTAAAAAGCAAATGAAATAGTGTATGTGAAAGAGCTGTAAGAAATACTAAGAACTATGCGACTAAAAGGGAGGAGCACAGATGCAGACGCAGACACATTCTCCCCACATCAAGTGATGAAAGGCCTTGTGTTCCGGCTTAGTCTCACCCCCACCCCACTTTCATCGTCATTGGCAGTATTCTTCATGGAGGCCCGCCACAGTCTGAGTCAACAGAAAAGTGATCTGGTCCCTGTGGTAGGCACAAAACAAGCTCTAGGAATTGTGTAAGTCACAAACAGCGTCCGGGCCCCGGATTGGGGGCAACCAGCCTCTGTAACACGATGGTCCGGCCCTCAGGCTGGCCGCGTGGTCAGCAGCACCGCGTGGTCAGCAGCACCGCATCAGCAGGAGGCGCTCTCGGTCTGAAGCTGCGTTCGGTGCACATCCCCATCCTGGAAGGGCAGACGAGGTTGGGGCCCTACAGCAGAATGCTTTCCCTTGCAGCCAAATAAGAGGTATTTGTGGACGAGTGAATGAAGGAGTCCTGCAAGCCGTGTGGCCCTGTGTGATGAGTATTTTGAGTTTTTTTTTCTGTTGCTTTAGCTATCTAAATGATGCTCACACATCACATTTCAGGGTAGCTGAAGTGAAGACAATGCAGATTCCATCTCCAGCAGCCCGTGGTGCGTTCTTCATGTTTTATCTACTCCCTGTCTCTTTGTTGGCTGCTACCCTTGCCCCTCTCCCCCTAACAACCGACCAGCCTTGATGATACTGACAGAGGGGCTTTGCGAGCTGAGCTCTCCCAGGATACCTGGGGCCTCCCTTCCAGCAGGTGCACCCTCCCTGCATCCCACAGTGTCCGAGGACTCTGCGTCCCCAGAAGGGAGGCATTGCTTGTGGGAGGCTTGTGCCTCCCTAGCAGAAGGCATTCTATTTGGCAGAACTCGTTCTGATATTTTCCAGTTCTTTACACTTATTTCCAGAAGCAGGCAGAGCAGTGTGTGTACCTAATCCCTCATGTGTTATACGTACTCAGTTTTACTGGCCAAAATGCCATGGATTCTTGTGGACCTCATTATTTCTGAAAACGACAGAAAAACCTCCTGTGGATTACCAAAATGGTCACATACAGGTAATGTAGGTAGCCAGGGAAAGGAATCACTGTGTCAATGCTAGAATAATTGTACTTGGTGGTATAAGGATCCTGTGTTTTGTTGAATGCTGTGGATTTCTGGTAAAACAGGAACCCACCTGGTTACCTATGGCAGTGTAGTAAACTCACGTATCAGACAGTCCTATAATATTTTTAAACGTTTGAACCTAATGCATTATTTAAAAAGAAGGAAGAGTTACACTTTCAATTAAATGTCATTTGGTAAAAAGTGAAAATTTCTGTGCATTTTAGTAGAAAACAACAATTCGCTTGGTGCCTTTCTTCCTACAATGGCAGTGCGGTATCAGCTTCACATGTGATGCTTTTACATTACCAAAATCTCATTGAAATAAGTATCAACCGGCATCACTATCCCTGCTTTAAAGAGAGAGAAAGTATTGAATTTAAAAAACACCTCACCTTTCTCTCTGATTATGAAATTAACGCACCTTGGTTTGTGGAACATTTAGAGCAGTCGGAGGAAGATGAGGGAAAATGAAATCACCGGAACCCCCCCTCTGGGACGAGCGCACTCTGTTTTCAGTCTCTTTTGACGGGTCGCTTTCGTCAGCACACTCACACTCACGTTTTGAGTTTGCTGGTGGCGGTGGTGGGGATGGAGTTCACATCGTAACCTGAACGTCTTCCCATGTCATTAAACACAACAAAATAAGGTAAGGACGGATGAATGAATGAACGTTTAAAATAAACCATAAGACACCATGAAAGACCTGGTGCACACCGATACAATCCTAGGGTGCGTAGGGGCCTGCACAGAGGAACACTGCGAAGAAAACAGAGTTGACAGAGACACAACCAGGCTGTGCTGTCCGAAGGGCCTTGGGAATGAAACGGCCGAGTTTTCCAGCCTCGCAGTCCGCCTCCGGAGACAGTTCAGCTGTGAGCAACGCCTCTCTCCAGAGGACTTCCCAGTGAAAGCCCACCACCTGAGTTGACTTATTCTTTCCTTCTGTGTTACAGCTCCAGCTTACTCTTTGGTTGTGACCAGCAGCTAAGTCACGCTCACTTTTCCCAAATGTTCTGCCCTTCAGGTAGCTGCAATCAACCCGAATCACCCTCTTGCTCACATGCCTTTGCCTCCGTCCATGAAAAACTGCATCCAGCTGGCAGCCTGCGAAGCCACGGAGCTGCTGCCCATGATCCCGGACCTCCCGGCCGACCTGTTCACCTCCTGCCTCACCACCCCCATCAAGATTGCCCTGCGCTGGTGAGTGGCCCCTCCCGTATTCCGGGACCTGCTCACCTGGGCTCTCTCACAGGGATCTTAACCCCTGTGGGCCCAAGGCATTCACTGGGTCCTAGGAGCCCAGGTGACAGACATGAGTGTACCCTGTCTTCTTTTTTTGTGATTTGGGACTGCCGCTGGAGGCTTGGGTTTTGCTCTCTGAGAGTGAAAGATCCTTTTTCTTCCTTCTGATCTGTTCACGGGCAGCTCACTGCTTTGTGATTTCCAAGAACACCCTCTCCTCGTTTTGTTCATTGTGTGACTTAGTACCACGATTGGTCAGACTGGAAACCAGACTTTCTTTCGGGGAAGAAAAGGCCATTATGAAAAGGGAGTCATTTAAGTCCTTGCTCGAGTTGAAGCGTAATCTTTCCATTTATTTTTAGCAGTGAAAAAAGAAGCCATGATTTTTCTACCTCCATTCTTTTTAAAAGTTATAACACTTGGGAATATAACTGAAGAAACGTGTGTGATATTCCAAGATGGTAGATGCCGCCTTTCAGCCCCTGCATCACCGGCAGAACGCACAATGGGATCTGTGTGTTTCCTGCCTCCAAGTTCAATTTTCTCCCCTAGACCATCTTGCCAGTCTTTAATATCTACTTTCCCATTTTGTGTTTTGCTGAAAAGCGTGTATGTCGTGGCTGTTACCGACTAGCGGATAAATGCCTCTCCCTTGAGGTACCATGGGAATGGCGCAGCTGTGCAGCGGACACCGTGCTGTCGGCTGAGGACACTCTTGAGGCTTCTGTCAAGGTGGCCTAACACTCCAGACCCACAGTCTCTTGCCTTCTCACCCATAGCCCTGGTGGATGTGGTGCGGGCAACAGCATAGCAAAGAAGCGTCCCCGGGGACACTCTGGAAGGGGCTGGGAGGGGCAGAGCAGCCTGAGGGTGGAGGAAAACTTGGCCTTCCTGCCCTGCCTCTGCAGCCAAGTACAAATTGACCCCAGACCCCAGGGCTGGGGATTCATGATGTTGGGGTGACCGGTGCAGCCCTCACATTAGCTGTCCCTGGGTGCCCCCAAACCCCCCGCCAAATAAGGACTGCACGTTTCTACCCAGGGAGAGACCTCCTTTTACTGCCGCTCACCTGAAAATGATTGGGGATGAAGGGAAGAGGCCGAAAGAGGCACTGAGAGGTAGGAAAGGCGGCCCGGAAGGAAAGACAAACCAGTGAGGCGATGGATAGGCTGGAGGGATCCCAGTTACCCCGATTTGGCCATTATTTATGCATGGATCAAAATTTCACACAGAGCCCCAAAATACACATGACTATCATGTCAATTTAAACAGTACCAAAACATTCATGATAAACTACCCAGCCTGTTGTATTCTGTTATAGCCACACAAAACTGACAGACAAACAAGAAAAAGTGCTACCAAAGAGGAACCAAGCAGAAAGAGAGGCAGGCGTGCTGTAATGTTTGAAATAAAGAACACAGGAGATGGGACCCATAGCAGGAGAGGCAGTGCTGGAGCCTGGAGGACTGCAGGGGGGCCGCAGGAGGCCGCGGGAGGGGACCGAGACGGGAAGTGGAAAGCCGGGAGGTGCAGAGACGAGAGAGAGGCCCCGGCACGCAGACCGGAGGCGTCCCGTGCTGAGAGAACAGGAGTGTGGCCGAGGCAAAAGTACATGAAGGTCAAAGAGATGCTCTCCCCAAAACGGAGAGCTGGAAGCCCTCCCACAGAGGGCCTGTGCCAAGCAGGACTTAATGGGGGGCCTCCGACCTCAGCACATCCAGTGAGGTGGAAGGCCCTCTTGAGGCCGAAGCCACGTGGTTTTGGAGCTGCGCTCCGTGCTTGTTGGTCATTCTGTGTTGGTGAAGTCCCTTCTGAACGCGGATCTCTGCACGCACCAGTCTGTGAGGCACACGTTACAGCGCGCCTCCCTCGTTCTGCTTGGTTCTTCGTCCATCGTGCCTTTTCTTGTTTGCCTTTGTTTTGTGTTGCTGTAACAGAATACAACAGACTGGGTAATTTTAAATGAAATCTTTTTGTATTCTTTAAATTGATGTATCACATTTCGGGGCAGTCCACGCAGCATTTTGATACCATACACAGTGAGTTAATGATCAAATCGAGGTAACTGGGATATCCATCACCTGAAACGTTTTTTCTTTTGGGGGCTCTGTGTCTCTTCTCTGCGTCTCCTGGCCTTTCTATTTCCCACCTCTCTCCTTTCCGAGGGCCTCCAGTGCGCGCCCCACTGTCATCCTCCAGGCCATTCATTTGGGCCTCAGCAGCCTCGCTCCTTCACGAGTGTTCTTTCCAACTCTCTTTATGTCTGATCCCTGTCCAGAAAGGCTTCTGAATGCCCATTTCATGTTACCCCAGGAAGAGACTGGTCCACATGACTCAGGAGTTCATTCGTGTATTGCCCAAAAACTAATTTCTTCAGTACCAACTATGTACGTAATAAGACCCATGCTGACCACCATGGGAGATGCTGAGAAGCGTATTGCCCTCAAAAAATGTATCCTCTGGTTGGGGGAATAAGATGTGGCTTGAACATCCGTGATTTCAGTGGGTGCTTCATGCAAGACGAAGAAAACCTGAGCCCTTCAAGGCCATGTGTGATCAAAGAGTAGATGATGGCACCAAGGGCCGTTGTGCCCCCAGAGGACAGAGAACCACGGCCAAGGGCACAGGGCTCTAGAAAGCTGCTTGGAGGAGGTAGGACCTGGGAGGAAGGTTTCACCAGGAGTGTGGTTGAGCTCCGAGAGTGGGCGCTTTGGATGCTGGCCAGGGGACCTTGACTTCTCCTGGGACTCTGGCATGAGAGAGCCCCTGAAGGTGTTTGGGTAGAAAAATGACTTCATGAGAACCATGTTTTAGGAAGAGGGTCCAAGTGATGATAGGGAGACCTTGGAGATAATTAGGCTGTGTTATCATATCAGTGCAGTCTTGAGCTGGTAAAAGATGAGGGCAGAAAGATGGAAAATCCCCCAGGGGCCTGTAGGCAGGAGCTTCCACAGACGCACGTGGACACTGCCGTGGAACAGGCCTCATATCCACTCATTTTCCCGTCCCCTTCTCCCGGTTTCCTGCATGACTGCTTCGGTGCCCCGACTCCCGAATCAGCACTGCCCCAGCTCTGCCTTTAGACCCTGCCCGCTGTGGGCTGGATGCTATACTTCGTGGGACCCTCTGGGGCATTTTTGCAAGTTTTCAGGCAGCAAGTGGGTGGAGGAGCAGGGAAGGAGGGAGAAAATAAGACAAATGGCACCTCTACCTTATGCACCTTCCCTGCCACCCCACTCCGGCATGCCTGTCCCAAACCCAGTACATTTCATCGAGTTGATGGGTTTCTCTCAGGCACTGTGTTCTTCTGCCATGAGTGGGAAGGACTTGGGACTTGGCTTCCCTCCACGCACAGCTGAGCACTCCTAAAGACTCCTGGGCCAGCTGTGGCTGTGCGCCCTGTGGTCCCAGCTACTCGGAAGGCTGAGGCAGGAGGATCCCTTGAGCCCAGAAGTTTGAGATCAGCCCTGGGAACACAGGGAAACCCCATCTCTAAAAAGCATAAAAATGAAGAAGCATGCTTTCACACTGAGGGCTGTTGGCCTCGTGGTTTCTAAAATGGGTGCCTGCCTTCTGATCAGGGAATGCCCTTTCTCGCTACCAAGACACAAGGCGTTACCCCAGTAGCACCTGAGATCCTTTAGGACACAGTCAGATTTTAAAAGTAAGCATTTAGTAGGAAGTGCAGTGCACAACAATCTGAACCAGTTCCCATAAGCGGGGTGTGGGAATCAATATGCCACGCTTGCAGACAGTGGCCATCAGAAAACCACGGTCCGGAGCAACTGAGCAACTGTCGGACGGGCAGCTCTGTTACGGTCAGCTGCCTTCTCCCACGTCGAGGTGCCCAAATTGGGTTGCACACGACATTTTGCTGGCTGGCTGTAGCCTGTGAGTGGTCATGGACTGTGTTCATTAAAGAATTAGCAAGTGCAATGTGTAGTTTTTTGTGAGCCAAGTTAAAAACCACCAGGCTTTGTTTTGTTTTTTTAATGGGAGAGTGCAATAGTTTGTCAGACAGTAATTACGTATGTTTTTAGGGTTACGGTTTTATTTTTTCATTTCAAAAAGCCAATTTGTTTTCTAATTAAAAATGAAATAAACATTCTTTTCAGAAATTTACTAAAAAGTTAAAAGTAGCCAAAAATTATCCAAGATTTTACCATCTAAGGACAACTAGCGTTCACTTTTTGATGTATTGCCTGCCGGTCTTTTTTCATGCATGTACATTTTGCAGTGATGTAAGTGGACAGAATATACAATTTCATGTACTTAACCCTTAGCATTATACTAGAGTTCCCTATCCTAGATCGTTAGAGGCTCTTAGTCAATATCGTTTTACTATTTCACTGTGCTGAAGTTCCATGTTTTATTTAGCCAGAGCCTAGGGCTTCAGGATTCGGGCATCAGGAGTATGGGGGTGGGGAGTTCCACGCAGCAGTCCTCCGGGACCTGACGACCTCATTCTGGGAAGGGGCAGACACACATGGGTCAGGCTTTTCGGGCCCGACACTCCCGAGTCTGCTGTTGCAGCATGAAGGAGCCATAGGCAGTATGTAAACAAATAAGTGCAGCTGTGTTCTAGTCAAGCTTGCCTTTTTTTTTTGAGATGGAGTCTCACTTTCTCACCCAGGCTGGAGTGCAGTGGCACAATCTCAGCTCAGTGCAACCTCTGCCTCCTGGGTTCAAGCAATTCTCCTGCCTCAGCCTCCCGAGTAGCTGGGACTACAGGCACCTGTCACCACACCTGGCTAATTTTTATATTTTTAATAGCAATGGGGTTTCACTGTGTTGGCCAGGCTGGTCTCGAACTCCTTACCTCAGGTGATCTGCCCACCTCGGCCTCCCAAAGTGCTGGGATTACCGGTGTGAGCCACGCACCTGGCCTCAGTCAAGCTTTCTTTAAGAAAACAGGCAGTTGGCCAGATTTGGCCCATAGCTGTAACCTGGTATTTCCT